CGGCAATGTTGTCTCGGCGGGGGCGGGGCGTAGTGGAGGGGGGGCTTGGGTAGACGATATTATCGGATATCACAATATTTTTTAAGGCGATTATCGATAAGATATTTTTGACATATCGCCCAACCCTATATTGCTGTTAATAGTGTTTATCGTGTTTGATTACGTCATTAACTGAATTTTACCGTTATTTTACATTTTACATTTCTGTCATATGTACATCAATTTGACAGTCACCACTGATAAGCTACTACTAAATCTATTGTAGAAACTTCATTTTCTGTAAAGCTGCTTTGCAATGATTTGTATCGTGAAAAGAGCTATACAAAGAAACTTGAATTGAAAGTAATAACTAGCTTTAGTAAGTGTTATTTTCAGACCCTTTTGAAAAAGAATGTGAACGAACAGCAGATAGCAATAGTTTCATGAAAGAACGTTTTGGTCTACATGAAACAGTGTGGATGTGTGTTTGATACAGTGTGTTCTTGCATGGCAAGAGGGAATTTTTAAGTCTGCCAAGTCTAAATATTATTAAAAGTTTATAATAAACTTCTCTTTTCTACCAAGTCCCCTCTGCAGATTGTCTTCGAGCGATTTCGTCTTAGCTGTCGCCATAATTCATTTGGGAAATTTTCAAAAGTCATGCCTATTTTTAACTTACGAAACAAGGAGGAACTAAATTAAGTGGGGCTTTTAGTAGCTTTTAAGTCCAAGGCCAGAATTAACTAGAAAAGGTAGAAAAAAAAATTATAACAGAAATTCTGACAGAAATTTACACATTAAAACATGCCCATGGGCTGATATCGTGGACAGTGGCATCCAAGCTGAAGGCTACAAAAATGAGCCCAGATAAACTCTACAAAAAGCAATCAGAAGATAAAGAGATGGAACTGGAGGTGGCGATGGAGGAAGCGCACATCTGCGTGCTCCGGGTCTGCCGAAAATGAACAAAAGATTAGCTAATTTACATGAGCAACCCCATGGCTTTAGAGACCACTGCGTTTGAGGTTTTCAGAACAAGTGTGCAAATTGAGCAGCTGTGAGGTTTTGCAGCCACCGACTACATGAGAATCTGGAGTTGACACAGGCAAGACATGATTGATGTGAAAGAAGGCAGGGTTTGCGCCGCTGCTCTCTCTGAATATTTAATTAAAACCCCACATACAAAAGCAAGATGATGTCAAAGGTGTGCTTCTGTTTTCTGCTTCCTTTGAACCCCGCTTGGTTTGCCAGTTCTCTTTTTCCTCCTTCACTTCACTCCATAGCCCTCCCTCCCCTGTCTTTTGCTTTTTTCTCTACCGATTTTTCTTCGATCAAACTCAATCAGCGGCCTGCATGCTGCGCACCGGCTGTTATTGTAGCTCGCAGGTGCGATGGAACCCCCTGCTCAGTGGGCCTGACCTCCTCTATGTTCTCCTCCACTCTTCTAGAACCAAATAAAGACATTTTCTTTCCTTCTCTCCTCGTCTGCTCTCATGCTTTCACTCTCTTCGGCCCTTCCAACACCAGACAACCATGTCACGTCGCTAACATGCTGTGGATAAGACCCCGAAATGATTTTGTGCCGCACCGCAAGTGTGCTATATACAAGTGGAAAGTAAACTCCATCAAAAAACACCCTGTAATGAATAGATGCCTCCAGCTGGGGTAAAAACCAGAAATGTGAAAACCAAAAAGAATACAGCATGCAGGTGTAGCTTTTGTTCAACACAGCAAATATAAAAATAAAAATGAAGTGGGGAGACAAAAATTAAATACATTAACAACAATATTTTTCTTCACTACACTGTGGCAATATTGTCATGACACAATCTGCTGTTTTATTTATTTATTTTTCACCTGAATATTTTGGTAAAAACATGACTTGAATGTAGGCAAAACATACTAGCAATTATGTCAATTATGCACATTATTTCTATTCAAATAAAAAACAAAAACTCAGAGCAAAGTTATAATATAACTGCACAAACCACTGAAGTCCAATGCAGAGGAAGAGAAACTATTGAGGGAAATACTGCGATGTATCAGTTTTGAATAACTATTGTGCTACTAAACCTAAAGAACCAAAATATTGTGATAACCCATATTTCCATGTACCATCACAAAGTAAATTTTTTGTTTTCCATACAACAGCAGAGAATTCATGTTTTCACATTTCTGTTTATTATTGTCATACTGTACATCTTGAAAAACTCCAAAATGGGACAAATGGCACATAAAAACAAAACCATCTGTAGTTGGTCACTTTACATGTCTGTTCCTGTCTAAGTGGCCCGTTCTTAGCCACAATAAGCTGCAATGAAGACCAGATTGTATGCCGTTGATCAAATGTCTAATTCCCATCGATAGTAAGTTCACTTCAAAGGTTTGCTCCTAAGGAATTTCCAACCTTTTCCCTCTGTAATGACCCATGATTTGTAAAATCTCTGCCATATCGCTTCCAATTTCTCTACTAACAAATTCAGTGTTATTCTTTGGTGTAATACCAATATTCTCCCTCACACACCCTCTTCCCTGAAGACACCTCTTCTCCAGATGCACATTGACCCTGCTGCTCTGGGGCTGGTAGGAGGGCTTGTTCCTCAGAGTCGCTCCACTGAACATGACTGACATAAACCACAAAGACTGTAGGAAGGAGACGAGCAGGAGAGAGAGAGAGACAGAACAAGCGAGACCTGAGATATTAAACGCTGTAGTTGTGAGAGAGAGCTAGAGCAGAGTGGGTGTAATTTATGATCAATAGCGTTTCTCAAATTCCGTTCTAATTAGAGCTCTATTTACAGTGCTGCTGATTCTTACAGCTGTACGAGTGAAATATGCCATAAACAACACACAGGTCATTACAACTGCACACAAACACACACACACCTCATTGACAAAGAGATACTAGATACCCATACAAACACTATAGAAACTGAGCAAGATAAATATAGAGTGAGGAAGAGATAGATGGAATGATAGAAAGTATGATAGACAGAACAATACAACAACAGATAGACAGACAAGATAGAACAATTTATAGAACGACAAAGACAAATAGATAGAACGACAAATGGATCAGAATGATATATAGAATGAGAGAACAACAGAGAAGGACAGAATGATCGACAGAAAGAACGATAGACAGAAAGAATGAATGAAAGAACAACAAAAACAGAGACAGAATGATTGATGGAAGGATAGATAGAACAACAGAAGGACATAACGATAATATGACAGATAGAACGATAGACAGAACAATCAATAGATGGATCGATAGATAGAACAACAGATAGACAGAACGAAAGAATGACAAATAGAACGATGGATTCATAGAAGGATAGACAGAAGGATATATAGAAAGAACGATAGATATAGAATAAGAAAACAACAACTAGAGCGAGAATGATTGATAGGATAGACAGAATGAGAGAATGACAGAAGGACAGAACAATAATATGACAAAATGATCAATAGGCCTAGAACGACAGAGCGATAGAACGATATAGAATTATATATAGATAGAACGATAGATAGAATGATAGAACGATATATAGAACAATAGCACAATAGATAGATCGATAGAACGATCGATAGAACGATAGATAGATAGATAGATAGATAGATAGATAGATAAAGAAAATGACAAATAGAGAGAGAATGGTTAGAATGATAGAAGGATAGATAGAACAAGAGAATGACAGAAGGATAGAACAATAATACGACAGAACGATCAATAAATAGAACGATAAACAGAACAATAGATAGATGTTCCCAATTAGTGCACCCTTAATGGGGACAAAAAATGTATTTACTGAACCAAACAGACATATGAACTAAACTGACAATGGCGTGCGTGCGTGCGTGTGTGTGGGTGAGAGAGAGAGAGAGAGAGAGAGAGAGAGAGAGAGAGAGAGAGAGAGAGAGAGAGAAAGAGAGAGGTGGAGATGGTGACATCCACCTTGTCAATGCTGCAGTGTAAGTTTATTAGTATTACAGTAAGATTAACGGCGGTTCAGAAGGCTAATGCCTGCTAATACATCAGCGCTGTTTTAGCACAACCCAACACTCTCCCAGTCAATACAGAGCCTGAGAAATGGAGAGAGGGCAGCCAACCACAACCACAGACACCGGCAAAGGAGAAAGAAAGGTGTGAGAGCACTTGGAAAAAATAGGTAGAGCACAGCGTAGTATGGCACAGTACAGTAGTGTATAGGAGCTGACTGTCAAGCTCCAAAAAACACAAGAAATATCATAAAAATACGACATGCGCTATACTATTTCTACAGCCATATGATAGCTTTATGTGAGGAGCAGACAACAGTCAACCACATTATATCTTCCGCTCCGCCATTCAAATCTAGCGCATTAATTATACATGCCACAGCATCTTTGTTTACATAAGTGAAGCACATTGATCGCTCTAGACACAATATCAGGAGAAGAAGAGACAGCACAAAGTACTCGTAGGTTTGAATATGAAAAACTGAAAGAGATTTAAAAATGAATCGGGCATTTATAGACATAGCCTAATTTTTTATGAACATATCTCCTAAAAGATTGTGTAGTATACTATAGTATAGCATAGAAAAGTGCATAGTATCTAGTGAATATAGTCAACTTCATTCATTCCTGTCAAGAACCAAATTGTGCTCATAAAATGACTACAAATACAACTCTTAAGTCGCAGTTTTAAACATGGCCGTGAATCAAGTACACATAGTTGCATACTAATAAGACATTAATGGAGTTTGTTCATTTCCACAGTGCAAAGCCCGTAGAGCCCGAGCGGTGTATTGAATCCGGATAGGAAATGGGAGCCAGTTCCAGCTGGCTGGACACAGTTGAGTTCTGTATTGATTTTCAGGGGGAGTTTGAAGGCCCTCAGACACCACGCACAGTAATTCTGGCTCAGGAAAGCATCTAACATCAGTGGGCCACTGAAGTGTGTGTGCGCGCATGGGGCCCGTGGGATCTCTGACCGCAAACATGGGGAGCTCTCTCACAATCTGCATGGGTTGCTGGGAAGATTTCTCTGCTTTCTGTCAAAAATGTTCCGCACAAATTGAATAGTCCAGTTACAACGTTTCCCGCTCTGCTCCCTGGATACTGGGAAGCAAGCACTAAGAATCATTCAACCAAAAGCCCTATTTGGATGGGATTAGTTTTCAGGACACATGTCTGTAAAGCAATAGTTACTGCTGACATATGTTTAATGTCAATTCATATAGGATAAGCAATGGGTGTAGAAAATCAAAACTACTGCATACATACACAATTTATTTAGCTGTGCCAATTAGTTATGCAGGAAATATCAAATCAATATTGTGTATATCTAGGGAGATTGATTAGAAATTGATTAGAACATCAAGCAAAAAATAACAGAACTATTGACATTAGTAATATTATATATCACTTAAATGACGAACAATTGGTTTAGGTGCTTTGCCAGTTTTTCTAGTATGCAATTACAAACATTTCCATTGTTTGTAGTCTCTTTTTATTTTCTGGAAAAACTGTTCTGAATCACTTTAGTTTTTAGCTTATTTATTCTAAAAATTCTAAACAAAAATGCCACTAATAATGCCCAAGTCTTTTCTAAATCTGTCATTCTTTGATATGCTATTGGTCATATCAAAGCCCTACTGTTTCATATATTCATATTTTTTCTAGTTCAACTACTTTTAAATCAACTGAAGTTCAAAGTCATACACCATGCACCATCTTTTCAATAATAATAATAAAAAAAACACTTCACATCCAAGTATAGATCACCTAAAATTCTGTCTTAATTTACTGACCCTTATGTTTTTTTAAACCTGTATGACTGACTTTATTGTGTTTATCACAAAAGATATTTTGGAAAAAAAATGTAACTGTTTACTGAACAACACTGGAACACACCGGCTTTCATTTTATAGACAAAAATGATTGAGACATTTTTCAAAATATCCTCTTTTGTGTCCTGATGTTTTGGAATGACATAAGGGAAATTACATTTTCGGTGGTACTATCCCTTTTAAGTCCAAACGTGAAATGCGTTCTCTCATCTTTCCATTTTCTGGTGTCAATTCAGATATGACTACTATTATTTTTTCAGGCCATTTTATAGAAGGACAACACTCTTAAAAATCACTGGCATGGTCAATTTGACCAGAAAAGCTCTGATAATTATTGCATTACCCCATGTTCTATAAAACTAATCCGGTCCGAATAAGACTGACGATCAGTTTCAGCTTAACTTTAGCTTTTAGCTAAAGCTTTAAAGTGATGAAGAGCTGCCTGAGATGATGACAGACGTGACCTGTGAAAGGATTGACCAGAAATAAAAGAACAAACTGCAGACTTTTCTTAGCCACGATCATCATTGCATCACTGAGTTAGCAAACAGACAGAAATGGGTCATTGTAATGTACTTTATCAAGAGACTCTGCTGCTGCAGGCGGCTCCTTCTTTCCCTCTCTATTTTCTGCAGCTGATTTTAGTACATCTGTTTTCATTTGAAAGCACAAACACT